AGCGGGCCTGGTTGGGTTTGTCTGAGGGAGGGTAGGCCCCGGTCTCGGTGCGGGGACCGTCGAGACCCTGGTCTGTGAGGGAGTTGGGGAAGGGAATGAGTGCCCCCGTCCGTTGGTGAGGTGGGAGACTGGTTTGTTGAGGGGGGTAGGGGGAAACTTCAATCCTTTGGGGCGTTTTGGGGTTGGTCTGGGTTGGATGAGGGAGCATGGGCCGCTTGGAGAGGTCCTGTTCATTGAGTTGCGTGATAGGGGAAGCCCCGGTCCGTTAGGGCAAGCAGGGGAGCATATACAGGTCCTGCAGATCCTGGTTGTGCTGACTGAGCTGTTGTCATAGCTGTGCCTCCGAAGACAGAGGCAAAGGCTAAGGCGCTGAAGGCCAAGAAGGCTGTACTGAAGGGGGTCCACAGTCACAAGAAGAAGAAGATCCGCACGTCGCCCACCTTCCGCAGGCCCAAGACCCTGCGACTGCGGCGGACAACAAAAAAACCCACGGAGAAACAAGTACGTCGGGGTGTTGGGCTCTGCCCTGCTGCAGGGCTTACAGGGTGGAAGTGGCCCCGTGTGTGGGCTGCTGTGGGGACCTCTGAGCCACACCTTGGTGGCAGAGTGCTGGGGTGAGGTGTTTTGGGGTGCAGGTGATGATTTCAAGCGACCAAAGCCTGAGAGTTTGTGATTACAACTTTTTTGGCAACTGATGTACCCCAAAGAAAGCCCCTGAAGTGCAGAGGTGGTGTCTGCCAGCTTTCTGTTAACCACAGGGTCTCTCTCCTGCAGGCTGGACCATTATGCCATTATCAAGTTTCCTTTGACCACAGAGTCGGCAATGAAGAAGATTGAGGATAACAATACTCTGGTTTTCATTGTTGATGTCAAGGCAAACAAGCACCAGATCAAACAAGCTGTCAAGAAGCTGTATGATATTGATGTGGCCAAGGTCAACACATTGATTAGGTGAGAAGAGAGGGAGAATAGGTTGCTGGTGGTTGTGAGATGCTTCAAGAGCCCAGAGTGGGTTTTAGCAGAAAATGGGAACATGTGTGAGTTTCAGCACATATGTGGGTACTCTCAGGAGGTGTGGGATTAAGTTCTGTAGCATTTTCAGTGTTAAAGTTTTGAGAAACGCAACTTGTGACAGAGCACATCTTAGTGGAAGTGGGAAACGTTGGCAGACTAGGGGATCAGCTTCATCAGGGAGCTCTTCTAACACCCAGGAAGTCTTGTGCAAATGATGTGAACGTTTTCTACCACTGAGTAAAGTGATGTTTCCAAAGGAACCACTGATGCACATGGGTATAGTAGGAAGGTGGAGCAGGTGGGAGGAGTTGTGTACCTCTGTTCTGATGCCTCCTGTTCCACTCTAGGCCTGATGGGGAGAAGAAGGCTTATGTCCGACTGGCTCCAGATTATGATGCACTGGATGTAGCCAACAAGGTGAGAAATCTTTGAAACTTTGCAGCTCCTATTAATTGTCTTGTATCTCCTCCACCCGATTGTTCTTCCTAGTGTACATGTGAGGCACTTGTGCTTCAAGCACAACGGCACTTTGGTGGAGTGTCCTTGTAGTTAGACAGGATCCAGGTGTTCAGAAGCAAGACCATGTTGTCTAGCGAAACACACTTCTGCCTGGAAGATCCTGAGGTTAGGTGGGAAAAGTTGTAAGAGAGAATTATTGCTGTTCTTCAGCTCCTCCA